CCCACTAACCCTGCCGGCCCTTGCCCCACCATCCCTTGCTCGTGATGCAGGCAGCCCGAGAGACTGCAGCGCGTGGATCGGCCTCTTCGACGCCGAGGAGTTTGACTGGTCAAAGGGCGCGCCGCGGCCGCGCTACTTGCGCTACAAGCCGCTCACGTCCGCCAAGGGCGAGGGGACCGTGCGGTGGCCGCTCAAGGCGCTGCGCGGGATCGGCGACTCGGACTTTCTCTTCTCGATCGACTCGGGCACCTTCGAGCTGTGCGCCGGCCCCTCGCACACGTTTCCTGTCTCGCAGCGGCTGCGCGTCCGCGACGACACGCTCGTGGCGCTCGTCGGCGCTGCCCACGGGTGTGTGCTGCCGCCTCGTGCCGCCGCGGCTCCCTCGCGGGCGGCGCCAGAGCCGCCCCGGGCGGGCGACGCGCTCAGCGAGTCCGAGGAGGAGGAGAGCTCGGACGAGGAGGAGGTGGGCGCGACCACTCACACACACACACACACACACACACACACACTCACTCACTCACTCACTCACTCACTCACTCACTCACACACACACACACACTCACTCACTCACTCACTCACTCACTCACTCACTCACTCACTCACTCACTCACTCACTCACTCACTCACTCACTCACTCACTCACTCACTCACTCACTCACTCACTCACTCACTCACTCACTCACTCACTCACTCACTCACTCACTCACTCACTCACACACACACACACACACACACACACACACACACACACACACACACACACTCACTCACTCACTCACTCACTCACTCACTCACTCACTCACACCGCTCACCTACGCGCACTGGGCCTTGCACGTTGAATGCCGCATTTAGACGTGGAGTCGCGAGGGACCAGCCTGGCCCTTGCCCCACCACCTCGTGTGTGGAGAAGAAGTTTACCTGACCCGACCTGACCTTAGGCGGGCGCGTGTCCGCTGCAGCCGCTCATGTTTGCGGTCCCGCAGGTAGAGATCGAGGTGGAGGAGCGCAAAGACGTCAAGCAGGCTCCGCGCGCCCGCCGGCTCGAGAGCACCCGAGAGCACCCGAGAGGACTTGAGAGGGCCCGAGAGCACCCGAGAGCACCCGAGAGCACCCGAGAGGGCCCGAGAGGGCCCGAGAGCACCCGAGAGGGCGTCGAGACTACGACGGTACGCCTCGCAGGTCTACGCGCTCGCCGACCGCCTCTCATACCACGACTGGGGGCTATGCTCCAAGGACGCCGCCCCCCCCCCTCC